TTATTTTCTTGTGTTGAAATAGTAAAAGAGTATAATTATCAAATTTTTTTTATCTCTTATAATTGTGAACTTTAATCAATAGAAGGTATTTGAGTAGTTGTTAAAGGTAAAATTGTAAAATTAAGTTCATATTCAAATCTTTTATCTATTAGAAACAAATTGTTAGATGTATTTAAAGAAAAAATCATCTCACAAGTTATAATTGGATTTTGAAAAAAAGTACTTAATAATGTAAAAGAATATTTGGAGTATGATGAAAAAGTACAATTAATTAATAAAGAATTTGATGACTATAATAGCTTTGATAATAATAATTAGCTTAATAATAAAATTTATATTTTTATATTTTCAAATATATAATGATGTAATTTGAATTTTTTTAAAAAAAGTTTATTTAATAAAAAATTTTTTATTGATATTTTTTTAAGGTACAAATCTTTTTGTACTGGACTATATTAAAAAATAATTTATTTATTATATTATTTTCATAAGTTAAAGGTTTAGAGTCTAAAAGTTGAAGTAGTTTTTTATAGAAGATAATTTAATTTTACTTAAAATCTAAAATTTTTTGATCACTCAAATAAATTCTTTAATTGAAAATATATTAAACTGAATATTTTTTTTATTTCTATATATAGAATATATATTTTAATCTTAAAAAGACAAAATATTTCAAAAATCAAAAATTAATTTTGAGAATATGTATAATTTCAATTATTGATTACTAGAATAACTATAATCAAAAATCTGTTTACTTTATTATCAAAAATAATAATTATTAGATAAAATTTAAATGCTTAAAATTGAAATTAAATAATTAACAAAATAATAATAGACTCAACTAACTATTTAAATTGAAGTTAAAACTTGATTGAAAGTAAAAAAGAAATTAAAAATAAATAGAGTTAAAAAGAAAAAGTAACTTATTTGTTTTATAGTTTATTTCACCAAGTTCTTTTTCTTTTTTGATTCTTTATTAGAATTTTTTTAAAAACTCATTTTTCTTAATAAATTTCATAAATAATTTTCTTTTCATCTAAATATACTTACAAAGATTTGATCTTTGTTAATTTGAAAATATAAGATATAATTTTTTCACCTTGTTCTTTTTTTAAAATACTTTTAACAGTGTTATAATTCTTTGGTTCCATAATAGATTTAATATAAATTAGTTTTATATTTATATTTTTATATAAACTAATCCTATATCACGATATCTGTTTGAGTTATTGAAAAAGTACTGTGAAAAATTTATCATTTAGAAGAAAAGTATGAATATATCAATAAAATCAAAGAAAAAAAAATATGTCAAGTCAGTTATTCAAATAGTTACTGACACTATATTCACAATAAAATATTATGATGAACTTCTGGTTGATAACATTAATTTTAAGTATAGTTTTATTAATAACAATTATAATTATATGTATATTTATAATGAAGCAGTAACATTTGTAGGAAAGTGGCTTTATGCCAAGATTGTGAAAGGCCTCTCTAAATTTGAAGTATCCTGTTATTTTATAATTAACTGATAGGGCTTTGGCTAATCGGTTCTCAAATTATCCAAGCAACAATGGGTTGAGTTGTAGATTAGAATTTATTTTATCTTTTTAAAATAATTATTTAATCCTAGTAAACTCCTTTTCATAAAAAATTGTTTTATAATTTGTTTTTAATTTATATCAAATTTATAATAAACATTCTAAAGTGAAGTTTCGTTGATTTAAAAAAAATAAACTAATTCTATATTAAATATATTAATATGTATTATTATTATAAAAAACAAAAATTATATTATTTTTATCTTAATTAATATTAATATAATTACTAGAAATGATGTCTTTAATTATTTTTCAAAATCTTTATATCAGTAATTATATTAATATAGAGGTTTTTGAAATATATTATAATGTTAGGTTTTGAAAATCATTATTTATGTCGCAAACTTCTGAATTTAGAATCTATTGTAAATTTCAATATATATTATTACAAAATTAAAAACCTTTAAAATTCATTATTATATTTTTTAATATTAGTATAAATCTTTAAATTCAATAGTTAGTATTTTAACATATTTTATTTTAAGTTTATCATTTTTGAATTATTTTAAATTTAATTATTTTATTGTAAAAATTTTATTTTTTTGTAATATTTTATTACTTATATATAATTTATTATTGATTTTATTATTAAAAGATAATAATAAACATATTTTATATTATTTTTCTTTTTTTTCATTCATTACTAATTTTTCTACTTTAATTAAGTGATTCAATATTTCAATTAATTTTTAAATATTAATATTTCTATTTTCTATAATATTAATTTCTATTTTCTATAATATTATATTATTTAATACTTCTTTTGTTTTTTTTAAAAAGTAATAATTTTAACTTTCATTTTGTTTTTGTTATTTTTCAAGATTTTTTGAAATTTTTTCTATTGTAATAATTAAAGTTAATATAATTATTTTTTTTAAATTTTTAAATGAATTATTTAAATACTTATATTTTTGTCATAAATATTTTAATGAAGGAAGAACTTTTTATGTTTTAAATATTATATAAAAGCTTAATATAATTATTTAATAAAATGAATTCTTTAAAAAATCTGAAATACTTTAAATCAAAGTTCTCATTTTTTATCTTATGACTTTACTAAAATTTTTATTAATTTAAGTTTCTTCAAAAGTATCTAAATATATTCTATTTGTTATATATATTACAAGTCAAGTAATAATATAATAACAAAATAAATTATAAAAAGATATAGAAATATATCATTTCAAAGTATTTTGTAAATGTATATAAAGTTAATAAATTATTTCTAAAAGTAAACAAAGTATAAAATATATTTATTTACTTGTTAAAGTTATAAAATAAAGTCAACATAAGTCAATAATATTATTAGATATTTTGAATTATCTGATATATATATAAAAACAAAATACTATTTCGAAGTATTTTATAAGTATATGTTAATAAGTTATTTCTGAAAATAAATAAAGTATGAAATACTTTTATTTATTTGTTAAAGTTATAAAATAAAGTTAACGTAAATCAATAAATATTATTAAATATATTTTGAATTTGGTATATTTGATATAATAGCAAATATTAATTAAATATAAGAAAATAAATGTATTTTTTTTAAGAAACTTTGTAAAAGAGAATAAAGTTATTTTTGAAAATAAATAAAGAATACATTGTTAAATAATAAGTCATATAATAAGAAATTGATTTTGTTATATAAATAAAAAACATTAACCTTTGAAAACAATAGTTAACAGAATGATAAACTTCAAAGAATATTATTAACAGTACAATTTCAATTAAAATTACTACAATAAATTTTAAAAGATATTGTTAACAATACAACTTCAATTAAAATTATTATAATATAAACATATGTAAAATACAATGAAAATAAATGTGCTGAGATTTACAAAAATTTAATACAAGTGATGACTATTGAAATTTTACAAAACAATATATTATGAATATCTAATATAAGTAGATTTTATCAAAAACCTCTAATACAAATTATTATGAAATTATCACGAAAACAATGATATTTATAAGATTTCATTATATGAAAATATCAAAATTGATGACCTTCGAAGATTAGTAAAACCCTTCAAAAGATAATATAGCAATTAATAATAAAATATTTACATTAACATTAACTTTCGAAGGTTTTTACTAAAAAAAATTTCCTGATGTAATATTGTAAATTTTTTAAATAGAATTGTAATACAAATCCATAATTCTGTAATTAATTGAGAACTTTTGTATAACAATATTTTAATTTTTGGAATCTTGATATTTCTGACTTCAAAATAATATTTTTTGTATCTCAATTGAATATCTCTATATTAAGTTATTAGAAAACAATTTATTTAATTAATAATTAAAATTCTATTAGTTAAATAAAATTATCTCTATAACCTGTGATTTAATTTTTATAATCTATAGCTCATTTGATTTCTCTTGTCGAGATGAACATTTTAATAGTTGTTTTATTAAAATTGAACATATATATGTCAAGTTATTAACTAAAAACAATTTGTTTATTTTTAATTAAAATCAAGAAATTTTTTATAAAAATAATTATAGACTTGTGAAATAATTATGAAAAACAATTGTGAAACAATTATAGACTTATAAAAGACTTATAAAACAATTGTAGACTTGCAGATAATTGTGAATTGTGAAAATTGCAAATTTTTGATTATTGTAATTCTTATATCATAATCCTTAATTTATAATTACAGGTACTATTTTTAGTAATTACGTAACAATAAATCTAAAGTTATTTAAAATTTGTTCATGAATTGTATGGAAGCCAAAGCTGTGTCACTAAATCAAAGCTATTTCAAATATTAATTTTCCAGTTACATCTGCTATGTTTAGCTCACATAATCGAATGTTCACTTTGTCTGGTTTTGTTATCTCTTAAATGGTAAATAATGAAATTGCAGACAAATTTGCTTGCATTTATTAGTAACTTGTGATGTCACTACTGTTTAAGAAATAATATATTCCAAATGATAAATTATTTAATTTTTTTTATGAATTCTAAGTTTAAACAATTATTATTAGATATAATAAAGAATGCAGATATCCTTAAAAAATGAATAATATCTACTATTGAAATAATTATTTTGCAATGTAATTATTACATTAATGTTAAATTCTAATACATTTCTTGTGACTATAATCTGACATTATAAAAAATTTTGTAAAGTAATTTATTTACTTTAATCTCTGTAGATAAAGTAAATTTATTTCAAATGTTATATGAAAAGTTTATTTAATGTACAATATTTTATTTAAATTATTGTATATACATGAAAATTCTATTTAGTGAATATTTCTAATTGAATCTTATCATTATTTAATATACAGGAATGATAATAATAAATTGTGAATAAATGAATAAAAATGAATGGCAATAAATAAAATGACAAATTTATTAAATAAATCAATATAACATTTTCATTATTCTATTTGTTTCTTCATTAGGAAAAACACCTGATTTAATCATATGATAATAAATTTCTTTACATTTATTCCTTTTACCAACTTTAACCCATGCACCAATTAAACTATTAAAATTTTTGATACCAGGTTTTATGTTCATATTTAACATTTTAAAAAACATTCTTTCAGCATTCTCGGGTTGTTTCAGTCTGGCATAACCTTCAATTAAGATTCCAAAAGTAACATTATTAATTTGAATATTTCTTTTTATCATTTCATCCAATACTTTTAATGAAAGTGACATTTCTCCATAATACAAAGCAAATGATTGTATGAAAATAGTAAATGAATAATTATTTGGTTTTGATTGTTCATCAAAAGTTGAATTGTCTATATAATTAATAAAATTTTTGTATACTTTGTAAGCATAAGTTATATTTTGAGCCTTTTGTAATCTACCTAACCAAATTAAAGTGTCTAAAACATGTTGAGGTGGTTTTGAAAAAGGAAGATTTTTTTCATTGTTAGAAGGATTAGAAGGGTCAGAAGGATTAGGAGGATTATAAATATTAGAAGGATTCGATGATAATGGTTTTTTTGAATAATTTGTTGAAGGTAATCCAGATGTATCTTTTAATAATATACTATAAGTTGCTCCATGTGGTTTAATCCTTTCTCTTAGCATTTCTTCATAAATCTCTTTAACTTTATCTCTCCTCCTTACTTGTCCCCAAGCTTTTAATAAACATGTATAACTATATGCATTTGGTTTAACGGTTGGGGATGATTTTAATAATTCAAATATTTCCATTGCTTTCTCGGGTTGTCCTAATAAAGCGTATCCATCAATTAATATTGAAAAAGTATAAACATCTGATGAAATTCCTCTTTTCAACATATCATTATGAATCTCTTGAGCTCGTTCCATGTCACCAAAATATTGAGCAAATTTTGAAATGAAAATATTAAAAGCTCTGGAATCTGGACGAAAATGATTTTTTCCTTTGTCAATAGTGTCAAGAAATTCATTATAAATCATATTTGCTGAATGGATATCATTTGCATTAGAAAGTCTAGATTTCCATCTAATCGTTAAAGAAATAATATTTGGCTTTAATTTTTTTAATTTTTTATTTATTGGAACATTTTTTATTGAATCTTCTGACTTTATTGAGCTTGCTACTAATCTTATTGGGCTTTTCGGGCTTGAATTATTCTTATTATTGATCTTATTATTATCGTTATTGTCATTGTTAATGTAATCGTCATCATAAAGTTCAGCAAAAAGTTTGTCAATTCCTGAATAATCACGTACTTCGTGATGTAAATGTATTAAACTATTTCCTACGTGCTCATTCATTTTAACTCCGTTATCCATAATATAATTATACATTTTCCAAGCATTTTCATGATCTCCAACTTTAATGTAACCATTAAGCATAATAGTACGAGTATAAATATCAGGTTTAAATCCCGAATTGATAATTTCTTGATAGAAGCCATTAGCAGTTTTCATATCTAATTTAACAGTAGAATTATATATTATTATATTATATAAAGATAAATCTGGTTTAATATTTAAATTTTTCATTGTTTTAAATGTTTCTTCTGCTTTTCCTAATTCCTCATTTCTCACATAAAGATCAGCCAGCGTATTTAATATTTTATACGTTGGTCTTTTATTTGTTTTCAACATTAAATTATAAAATCTATATGCATTTTTTAAATCATTTTGTTTAGAAAATCCTTGGATTAATATTAAATAAGTTATTTCATTAGGTCTTATTCCTAATTTCAACATTTTTTCATAATAATTTACTGCAGTTGACATTTGACCTTGGAGAGAATAAATTTGTATAATTATGGTAAATGAACATGTGTCTAATTGTATTCCATTATTTAATAAACTAATAAATAAAAGAGGTGCTTCTTTGTAATTTTTGGTTTTTTTTAAACATGCCAATGTTTTATTAATTAAAATAATATCAGGTTTGGTATTTCCATTATAAATAATGTCTTTTAATATTATAACAGCTTGTTTAGGCCATAAATTTTCTAAAAATTTTAAGATTAAATGTTTCTTGTCTTTAAAAGAGATTTCAATTGAATGTTCTTTTAATTTATTATAAAGTTGAAAAGTTTCTTCTAGTTGTGACGAATATAATGTTGAATATCTTATTAATTGGTGTATAACATGTTGATTTTTTTGTAATATTTCAAATGCTTTTGTCATTGATATTGAATTTATTAAATATTTAGTTAATAATTTCATGTTTTGTATTTCTTCTTCATTGAGTTTATCTTTTGTATCTTTTTCATTTTTTTCATCCTTTCCATCCTTTCCGTCATCGTTTCCATCCATCCCATCTTTAGTTGATGTGCTATTTATCTGATTTGTTTGGCATATTATCTCATTTTGTTGTTGAGAACAAGTATTAGTCAATCTTTGAAACTGACAATTTGTTCGATCAATAAAGAATCTACTATTAATAATATTAATTGTATAAAATTGAAAATATTTATTTTGCTTTCTAATATCAAGAAAGATTGACCGAATTCCGATCATTTTTTTTTGATTATTACGAGGATGGTGATAATAAGTAGATGTTGATATTAAAGATGGAAATGTTAAAGAAGGTGATAATAATAATTCTAATGGCATTCGAAAGATTCTCATGATTCCAAATTTATTCATCAAAATAAAAAAATAAAATGAAAAATCGATATTCATTAATTTTAAAAATTTTAAAATTTTTCATCATTTTTTTTTTTTCGGCAAAATCTCATTTCAATCATTTTTATATAACCAAAATTTATCAAAAACGATACTTTCAATATTTTTTTCGACATTCCATCGTTATTGTTTGTGCCACAGCCACCAACCTCACTATATGTGACGTAACTGATCTATTTATTAGGTGTATTTTATTTGTTGTCGATCAATAAAATATTTATTACACGATCATTTTTATAAAGATCAATCAATAAATAAACTTTCTTTTGTAATATGTTGTTATGTTATTTTGCATAGATATGAAATTAAATTTCATATAGTTTTGGGGGGACAAAATAAACTGGAGGATGAAATAGCATCATAGAAGTCGAAATTATTTTACTTAAAACCTGAAATTTTTTGACCACCCAGATAAATTCTTTGATATTTCAAAAATCTCAAAAAGTCGAAATACATATTTTATTTTGGGAACATGTATAAGTAGATATTATTTACATAGATTATATTTTGTATAGATGTTATTTGCGTAGATATGATTACTTTTTAAATAATAGTACAAGTTGTATAGTCCAAGAAAGAAAAATTTTTAAAATATTCTGATTGATTAGTTGAAACCTGAGATTATTTTTCAATAAATATTTGATATAATTGATATGAAAATAATTTATAATATATGAACCATATTAAATAATTTGTAATAGATTCATTTTTGAAAAAAGTTTCTTGTTAAAATAAAATTTTCTATATCATTTGTGTTGATAATAAAGAAATATGTGAGATTGGACTTATTTGCAAAAAATTATAAATAAGTAAGCACAAAAAATAATTACAATAAATTGTAAAAAAAACTCACATTTTATGTTAGACTCAAGATGATTTCTCCCTTGAACAACCTCAATTAATTATATTCTTTACATTCTTTTTTATTTATAAAAATATATAAAATATATAAAAATTTTGTTTTTTTTTTATTATTTATTGTTTACAATTAGCAAAAATCAACAAATTTTTGATGCAAATTAGCTACAAATCAACTTGCCTAGAACATCTTCATCCCAATTAGAAAGTATTTTTAATCAAGGGTCTAAAAGAGTTGCAAGAAAGCTAATTACTATACTACATATCTACCTGTCTATACTATGTATCTACTTACCTATTTGTGAACCTTCCTACCTGTTTGTGTCAAAAAATTTCCTATTTTTTGTTATTTGATCAGTGTATATTTTTTAAATTTTACAAAGTAAAGATTGTTGTAATTGTTTTTGCTGCCATTTGTTAAGAATTATAAGGATTTATCCTTCTGACTATTTTCAACAAGGTATCCTTTAATGTAGCTGACATCCATAATAAGTTTGTCTTGAGATATTCAAAGTTAGTAATTTAGCAATATTAGATAATAATACTTAAAATTTTTCCTACTTTATTAATGGAATTTTGAATTTGGGACTATAGTAATTTAATAGTAATTTGTAATTTGTGATTTTGCATTTGAATTTGGGTAACATGTATTCATTTTGGTTAACTATATGGTTAATCATGTTCTGTAAAATGATTTTCTGCAAAAGTAATATAATCTCACAACTTTCCTTGAAAGATATGCAGCCTGAAGTGTTGCCTTCTTGGAAGATCAACTGATATCCAAAGAATAAAATTTATTACAACACTACCTTTATTAGTTGTATCTTCACAAGTGGAATATTGTTTAAACATAGGTGAGCTTCTTTGTGCGTTTTTAAATATTATGTATTATTATAATATGTTATTAAAATATTATATATAAAATCTATACTATCTATTTCTTTATTTTTTTATTTTATTTTTGGAATATGTTTTTGATGTGAGAAAGAGATATTCTTGAGTTTTATGATTTGATATATGAAATAGGTGATAGACTCAGACAAAATTTAATAAATTCGACATTTTAAATTGTTACGCGGAAATGTGGCCTTGATTACTCGTTATATGGAATTGCACTAAATTAAATGATTCCGCCACGAATAGTGAGTAATAGTAAATTAAAGTTATCAAGTGGCAATACATTAAATCTTCAAGATGCGCAGACACAAGTAAGATTTAATCTAAACCTTAATTCTTTATATGAAGTAAAAACAAGGAAATACAAGTTTGTATAGTAATTCTATAATAATAGAATTAAAATAAATTTTCTGTTTAATAATAATCAAAATAGTATCCAATGCCATGTTATAAAAGTAATTCTGATTACTGAAAAATCAACATTCTAGTTAATAAATAAGTTAATAAATAAGTTAATAAATAAGTTAATAAATAAGTTAATAAATAGAATATCTAGATTAATTTATATAAAGTATTATACATATAAATAGTTTGATAATAAATGTATGAATTATACATTATTGTAAAAAACAATTTCCTTTATCATGAGAAAATTCCACAAATTGCAAATTTTGAGCAACATTATAATCATATTCTATTGCCAATTCATCTTCTATTACACCAGGATGCATACGTTGCAATTCATAAAAAAGTAAATACGCGTTTTGACTAAAATTGTTGAAAAGTAATGTGACATCTTGTAAATTATCAAATCTCTTCACTCGTTCAAGTACGTTTAAATCATCTAACCGAAACCATCCTTCTTCCTGGAAAATATAAAAATAAATATAAAAATAAATATAAAAATAAATATAAAAATAAATATAAAAATAAATAAAATATAAAATATAAAATATAAAATATAAAAATAAAATTGAAACGTACATCGTCCAATACGTATCCTTTATAATGTCCACAATTAAGGGTCTTTCCATAATGACAAACTACTGATCTCAATTTTAGGCGATAATGTACATCTATTCCACAATGACAAGGTTGTTCATCCTCAGCTTCTGGATTCACAAAAGGGTTAAAGTTGACATAAGGAGGAATATATACATTCTTCTTTATTCGAAAAGGTTGCAATTTATCATTAAAGCCATATCGTTTTAATACTAATTGCAGCATAAGATTTTTTGTAGGAAAATGGGATTCAGATGCTTTTATATTTTCACCTATCATTTAATATTTAATTTAAATTTAATGAAATATCAAAATTGTCAAAATTTCTCGAGACATTATAAAAAAAAAAGACAAAGAATCTAAACTATTCTTCATATTTACCTTGTTCATTACCCGCAGAATAGAAAGGTAAAAGTTTCAAAACTTGCCAAGCAGAAACTTCTGTTTTATGATTTATATCATCTGTCAAATATCGTTTAATTCCTGACACTATATTATCTTGAAAATAATTCATCAATGCTTCCTCTAAAGAAACTGGTTTCTCATCATGCGGATCACCAGGTATAGCGACTTGAATTAAACGTTCGGTGACTACACGTTCATCATTAGGATCCTTATTTCCCCCATGAAACAAATGCATTCCGAGAGGAAGATATGGTAATTCATAAAGACAAGATAAAAATAAGAATAATTCGCTAACATCCTCTTGCGTTGTATGTCCTGCATCATTTTTACCAATCCAACCACAATTTAATAATTGTTCACGAAGTTGCTAATATTGTATATTTTTGTATGTTTTGTGTTCATGAGTGTGAGCCAAATAACATGAAAAAGAAATTTAAGAATAAAAAAAAAAAAAAAAAAAAACAAAATAATTACAATTACATATAATATCAACCTTAATCATATATGCGCTCATAAATTTTCCCATTCGAAGTCGATTAACAAATAGTCGTAAGTGAGTTTGTAAATCCCGTACTTTTGTATTTTCAGGTTGAGCGAAAAGCATACCATCAAAAGATTGCGTTCTGGCGAACATTGCAAATAACAAACTATCTAATATATTATAATGGTTGACACAAGGGTCCAATTAAAAAAAAAAAATGATTTCATCAGAATCTTAATAGATCGTTAATTACCTATATAACAACTAGTATTTTGATCATTTTCTGCCCCTATCATTACATCGTTTTTTTGAAGATCTGCAATCAAACCTTCCTCGGCTTCACACAAATCTTTACAATACTCAGCAACTTCAGCTACATTCCAGTCATTCGTTTCCAGTAAAACTTCTATTTGGGTAGTTTCTAAAGGATGACCAAGTTCTTCTAAATATGTTCTTAACTGATCCACTTTACTTTCATAATCGATTTGGGAATCTTTAAATTGTTGTTTTTCTGAACTTTTTTTTTCTTCTGAACTTTTTTTGGAACCAATGAAAAGGAACTCTTTCAGTCTACGCGTGAACTTTAAAGATTTTTCTTTTGTCTCTATTTTCTCTTCATTTTCTCCTTTCTCTTCTGTGGATCCAATATCATTAATCATTATAATAAAATAATAACTGATAAAAATAAAATGAATTTCCTGAGAGTAACACAATTAATTACACCAAAAAAATTTAAAAAAAAAAAATTTTATATAAAATTTATTAAATACAATTTTATGATCTTTTTACTATATAAAATACAGTATTGTAAAATATGATGTAATTCGGATAAAAAGAAAAGCGAATATAAAAAAAAAAAACTATCAATTTTTTCTACATAATTAACTAACGTTTCATCAAACGATTGATATATGATGATAACATCGCAAATCCAGTCATTAAAAATTCATGGCAATTGAAAATAATAGTAAAGTAAATAATAATAGAACTGGAAAGTTATCAAATAACAAGGGTAGAAAAAGTGAAAATCTCTTAGAATATCAATCGACAAGTAAAACCCTTTGTTATTATTTCATCTCTTACATTAAATATCTTAATTGTAAATAATGTTACAATCATATTAATTATGTTACAGATATTGTCAAAAAAAAATAGGTGATATGATATAATAAATTTTTTCATTAAATTAAGGAGATGGTTCTTGGTTTGATAATAAAGGTGTCTCTTCTGTTGGTGTACAAATATCACGTTTGCAAATAGGGCACTATTAACCAATATAAATTTAATAAATAAATATTAATTTCTATTAACTCTCAAATGAAAAATGATATAAAAATATATAATAAAAAATAAACTTACAAATTTCTTTCTCGTAGTTAACCAACTATCAATACATGCGACATGAAATTCATGTTTGCACGGCATAATTCTCAGTTCATCTTCGTCAACATAATCCTCTAAACAAATGCAACATTCTTGAGGATCATTTTCTTGTCTTTTTGATTCAAAGAATATTTTTGTCGGCAAATTCCCAACAACCTGTTGTGGAGCAATATCCTGCTTGCGTCTTTGACGTTGGCGAATGCGCCATAAGACATATATAAAGATCATCATCACTGTTGGTGAAAGAATAACGACAATGATAACGTCTAGCAGTGGCCTGTAATATATATATTTATATATTATGTTAATCTTTGTTTATTTGGACTCCCTCCCTTTTCCCTTCTCTTCCCTTCCCTTCCCCCAACCCGCTAAATGAGGATTCAATATTACCACTGAAAAAGATCATCTTTCATGAGTTTTATCTCCAGCGGTTTTTCTGCAATTAAAGCGCGAGGTCGAAGATCTCTATATTCGTTTTGAGCAATAAAGACAGAAGGGATTTTTACATCCGAAGTATCGCCTGGAGTGAAAACCAAAATTAATCCACAAATATATCTCTCTCATAAATTAAACAAAAAAAAACCCCCAAAATAATTTTAACAATAAAGATAAAAGGAAAAAAGGATAAGTACATATCATTCGTGAAGACTCACCAGTGGCATACATAGTTATTAGCCCGTTGTGTTCGTTGTCCCCAACCACTACGGCAATAGCACCTGATGCTTGCATATTTCGAACTTTATCAATAAAAGAACATTGACCGCGTTCGACAAGAGCTATCCAATTTTCAGTGTTAACCTTCTTTTTAAGAATACTGCAACCCTTCTGATTGCCTTCCTCGATGGTTTCTACCGAGACAAGATAGCCGGAAAATCCTTCATCGGTTAGACGTGGACCGAACGCGGCTATTCGATCTTGGTATGTGACATTAGTAGCCTAAATTATTTCGAATGGATAAATAGATTAACCTGCGATCAACGAAGAAATTATTATTGATCGAATCCATTCTGATAGTACTAATTATAATGAGCTTATAACGGAGTTCTGGAAAATTCTAATAATTCAACGCCTGTTATTATATCCATTAGGTGCATTTATTTATTCAAATAAATTTACCAACCAAAAATGTCGTTCGTGTTTATCATTAACCTAGACACGGTTCATTCATTTTTTGTTTTCACAAAGTTGTAAAAAAACATTGATATTTTCTATAATTATGTTAATTTGGCGTAATGCATTACCCTGAAAGAAATGTTATCTTACCACGACAATTATTGTAGCGTCAACGGCAGAATTACTAAGGTGGCACCAGAGAAAAAGGAAATGTACCAATAATAACAGATTAAACAAACTTGAAAACATTAAGACGAAATTTATGAAATCGTTCTTTTCAGTAGTAATTTTGTATAAAGCTTTATAATTGTTACTCCAATAGCTGTGGTGCTCGTGAAATGTTGCACGAGGATGCATTTTTTTTATACGCAAAAAAATTCAGATTTTGCGGGGGTATATTTAATTTAAAATTTACCTCTTTTTTAATGTAAAACACTAACTAGCAGTCATTTAATTCACTGTATTTGAGAAAATGCATCATTATTACTTCTTTCCTTCGATATTGAGACGATTTTACATAACGGAGAAAAAAAAAATCGTCCGATATCCATTTATCTGCAAACAGGTAATCCGCAGACTCCATAGTGCTATCCGTGAAAAATCCAAATAAATCCGGATAATAAATTTAGTTTTGTTAACGGATTTATAATAGCAGATAATGACGGATAAAATTTTATGTTCCACTTTCTTGAGCCAAAATTTAAAGATTTCTGATTAATATGACATGTGATTTCATATGATTTCATGTGATTAAATTTGAAAACAATTTTTTTATTTTGGAATTTCAGCCAATTTTCCATTAATACCCATTTGATATAAAATGCATATTTTTGTATTGTAATTAATCAACTTTATTCAAAGCTTCGGGTAAAATTTTTTGTAAATTTTTCCAATTTTCGTGAGTATAGCCCAATAATGTTCAATATAATTTATTTCACAATGAAATTTGGGATAAAAGATGCAAAGATGTCTGTTTCATGTATTATCTCTTCTAATGTCAATTTTTGTGAAATAAAATCTCGCTGAAGAGATAAAATTCTCCATGCACAACAATCCTTTTGGGCAATATCTTCTCCTTTGTTTTTGTGTAATTCACAATTCACCAATAAATCATCTTTCCATAAATTACATTCAATTAGCATTTGTTTCATTCCTTTTGGTTTACCATTAGAAAATACCATATTTTGTTTTTGATTATTAGGGCCAAATGTTGTATCTCTCATCTTTGGTTGTTTCCTCCAGGTTTTAGATTCATATTGTTTGCTACTAAAGCATCATGACAGGGATGGCAAATGATCAAAATGATTTTGTGAACATCAAGGATTTTTGTATTTTTTATATTTTTTCAACTTCTCTCATGATTTGCAAAGTGTAGAGCAATTTTCTACTAAGGTATCTCTAAGATAGAATGAAAGGCCTTGTTCTTGAATACAAAATGATACATGTTTCATCCAGATAGTATTGATATTTGTGGAGCTATTCATTTAAATTTGAATGCCCATAAAAAAATTTATGATAGAAATTTTCACAGACATTCAAATTTAAATGTGAATGTCAATGCTATCTGGATGAAATACATATCATTTTGTAGTTAAGAACAAGGTCTCTTTTTCTATCTTAGAACTATTTTAGTAGAAAATTTCTCTTTGCTTCACAAATCATGAGTGAAGTTGTAAAAATATATAGATTAATATTCTTATTTAAATAATTTCAATTCAATTTTTTATTAATATTCAAATGACTTTCAAATGACTTTAATGACTTTTGTATAATTTTTAAATGATTTAGTCATTTGGCCAATTGTCATTTGTAAAATGAAATAATTTAACACTAGTCAAAATTCTAAAAATATTATCTCTATTTGTACTAGTTAAATGTAAAAGAATTGTTTTAAATCCTATATTAAAAATTAGAATTCCTATATTATAGATTAACTAAAAATCAACCATTCTATTACATCCTATATTATAAATCAGCTAAAATCAGAATTCTTTTTCAGTACACCTATTTTTTTGTGTTTAGCTTAAGTTATTTCAAATAGACAAATAACCAGATCATTTGTCAAAAGTAAATAAGACAAAATAAAGTATTAAAAATTAGTATTGTTTTTTTTTCTATCTGCTTAACTAATTTTTTATTTGTTTAATATTTTTTTTTCTAATTGTACTTCTTTATAAATATTTATTTGATCTTCATTTAAGTAAATCAATTTTTTTACAAAATTCATTAATGATCTAAATCTAAAAAAATCAATTACAATTCACTAATAATTTAAATTTAAAAAATCAATTATATTACTTCTTGTTTTTAATTTGCTTTTTCTATTATTATTTAACAATATTATCATTGAACAATTAATTATTTATTCTTTAAAATATTTATTTTTTCATTAAGTATATAATAATAAAAAAATTAATTTTTATTAATATAATAAATAATGTTAAAATATTGATTTTAAAATATAATATTTATATAATATTTATTATTAATATCTCAGAAACTATTGTATAAAATTATTAATAAATATATATATAAATAATATAGAAAACTTAAATTAATATTATAAATAATATTAAATAGTTTTTGAAATTAAAAAAATTAATTAGATATAAAAATCTGAAAAAATCATATGACCTCTTAAACTTTATATTTAAAAATTTTAATTTTTTAAATATAAAGTTTTGTAAATTATATGATTTTTTCTGAATTTATATATTTAATATTAGTTTAAATATTGAAAATATCACATTTATTTTACAGTTATTATATTGTTTTTGTTTTTAGAGATATTAATTATAAAAATAAAACTAATATTTTCTTTAATATTTTTATTATTATTGATACTTAGTTATTAATTAACAATATCACTAATATTGTTTTTCTTTTTTTTAATTATAAAAATTAAAAATATAATATGATACTTTATATATATATATAATGGTTTACAAAAGTATTACAATATCTGATCTTTTGTCTTTAAAAAAATTTAACTTCTGAACAATAGATTTTAGAATAATAGTTATAATATATATTTTAATTTTAAAATTTAAAAAATTTTGAACTATCTTTGATATACAATTTATAATTTTGATTTTTTATAAATAAATAATTAACATTAAAAATTGTTATTTGATAAAATTTCAATTGTAAATAAAATTTTATACAAAATAATTATAACCAATATAATTATAATATAAAAAGTTTAGGAAAAAAAAAAAAACTCTTTCCGAAACAAATAATTTTTGCAACAAAACCGCAGTAAAAATTCTTTTATCGAAAATAGTTTTTAAATTTTTATTTTTAGTTTATTTTATTTTATCCAAATTTCATTCATTTGTCCTTTAATAATAAACGGACAAACTCAATAATATGAGCGTTAGCTCAAATACCAGGGCCAAAAAAAGCAAGGACAACCTAGTCTTGAAGCCCAACGTTATTGGTGAAGTTAAATTTAACCCAACAATGAAAAAGGCAAAACCAGACAAGAAAAGCAATAACAAAAGAAATAATATACCAATGGAAGAAGCAAACGCTGAAGCTTCAGGAAGTAAGATAAACCCACAGATAGTAATATTAACAAATGAAAAAATAATAGAAGATAACGACAATACAAACACAGAAGTTATGGAAGAAATCGAAAGTAGAAATTATGAATTACAAGAAGATATTGTAAATGGGGAAGAAAACAACGACCAAGGGTGGAGAAGAGTAACTAATAATAAAGGGAAAACAAAATACGAAAGTATTAATAAAAATAACAATAAAGAAAATAACGAAGAAAAAGAAGAAACTGAATTAATCGACTCATACCAAACAGAAAATGATTATCAATCCGAATGGCGCAGTAATTTCAATGTAAAAAAATATAAAATCTGGACCTACGCAAGAAAAATCATGGGGAAAAATATCAGTGAAAAAGTAGAAAAAGTTAGAAAAATTTTAAAAAAAGAAATGGCAGTTGTCCTGGTAAAAACTGAAATATTCAAGGACAATAGAATGATTTCTATATTATACGACAATGAAGAAGAAATGGTAAAGGGCAAGCAATGTGATGTGGGAGGAAACGCAGGAAAGCCTACTTACATACATAGGGCTAAAATTTTCAGAAGAAATCCAGTTAAGGAGCTAATGCATGGTGTGAAACTGTGGGACGTGCCGCTGGGAATGAAAAACAAAGAACTCAAAAAAGACCTAGAAAATAAATATGGTGAAATAGAAAGACTAACCATGAGAGTTAATAACATGTGGCAATCTGCAGTTACTATTTTTAAAGAAAAAGAAGATACAAAAAAAGTCATGGAAAAATGGAGCATTATAATTGGAGAAGACTCCTTGAGGATTATACAAATAGATCAAACAGCTGATAATCTCAAATCTAGAGGAGAACATGCAACCAGAATTATTGGTCTACCCAATGGTATAACAGCACGCAAGTTATGGCCCCATGTAGAAAAAATTGAAGCGAGAACATGTTATATCCCAAGAACAAGAACATATAGACAAAAAAATGAAGCAATTATCTCGTTTGAAGACCACGAAACATGTAGAAATTTCTTAAATGTTTCCTGGAAATTTGGAGAATTCAATATTAGAATTGTTGATATACAAACTAAAACGTGTTACCGTTGTCATGCTACAGACCATTTGGTTATCGACTGTCCACAAAAATTAAAGGATAACGAAATTAAAGAGAAAAATGTAGATAGACTAGATAAATTTGGACCAATTTATAAACGATTCAATCCAAGATTCTATAATACTATTAATAAACAAATAGGTGGTAAAACATACGCAGAGGTTACTAAAAATAAACAACTTAGAAAAGATGATAGAAATAATAATCATAATATTAAAAGTGATAACAAAGTAGAAGAAGATAGATTAGAAAAAATTGAAAACATGTTAATGGATATTAACACACACCTAGACAGAATTGAAAATCATCTATGGGAAACAATGCAACAACAATACGAAGATGAAGAATCAGAGGAAGATGAAGATGAAAATATGGAGGTCGAAGAAAAAGAACAAGAGATTAGCAATAATAAAACGCATGACAAATCAAACAAAACTACACCAATGGAAAAAATTTTATTTACAATGAACTCAATAATGAGTCGTATGGAATCGTTAGAAAACAAGCTTAAAATGGATTCAAATAATAATAAACAACACAAGTAATTAACAGATAGTAATTGGGCTCTAGACAATCAATAGAGTTAATAAATTTCCTTATTAAAATAATTAAATATGAATAATAATAATAATATTAATATAAACAACGAAAACACATCTTACTTAAATAATAAAGGGAAAACAAAAGAAATAAATATTAGTTATAATAACAAAAACAAAAACAATATAATATATAATAATACAATGAACATTGCGACACACAACGTGCGTGGCTTTAATGACAATGTAAAGCGTGCTTTATTTATTAATTATATCAATACAAATAATATAGACATTGTAGGTATTGCAGAAACAAATTGTACAGAAAATAAAGAAAAATGGTTCATAGAAGGAGGAAATAAATATAGAGGACATTGGTCATCCGATGGAATGGGAGCAGGTGTAGCCATACTTGTTGCGAAAGAATTAAACAAATATATATGTAAAGCTCAAAAGTTTAAGGGAAGAATAATAAGTATTAACCTGGTACTACCTAAGAAAACAATAATTACAATAATACAATTATATTTATCAAGTAAGAAGAAAAACAACAAAGAAATATTAATACAAGTTAAAAATTGAGTTCACAATGTGCAGCAACGAAACCATAAAGTAATAGTAATGGGCGATTTCAACGCTATACCATCGTCAAGTATAGATAGAAATAACAATAACCAATCTAACATCCTAGAAAGTGAAATTTTCTCAATATTAACAGGAAAAGACTTAATTGATAGTTATAGAACCATACACCCTGATTCTAGCGGTTTTACGTGGAAAAGTGATAATTCGTAAGAACAGAGCCGAATTGACGCCATCTGGATCCCACAACAATAGGAAAAAAAATAATAGAATGTTTCACGGAACAACTTGAATTAGTGACAGAAAGTGATCATAAAATAATACAACTTAAAATTAAAAAGACGTGGCAAATACATTTAGATAGAGAAGTACAAGATAATATAGGACCTAAATATAACATAAAATTAATGTGCGACGAAAAATGGATGAAGTTTACAACACATGTAGAAAAGAAATTAAAAACAACCACCATCTCGTCACGAAAAGAAAAATATGGGATAACAGTCAATTCGTTAAACAAAAACTGGAAAACTCTCAAAAATATAATGATAGAAGCTGCGGATTGTGTAATATTAAAGAAAAAAATCAAAAAATTTAATAAAAAAATCAATAAAGAATTTACAGAGAACTATAAACGTGTAAAATTATTTAATAAACTATATCAATTTATGAAAAAAGAGAGAACTAAATCAGTTAAATATATTAAATCACATGACAAGTTCTTGAAAGAAAAGAAAAAACTATCAGTACTTAATATTGAAATTGAAAAATTTTAATAAATAATAGGAAATATGAGGAATTACTATACAAATTCAAAGAACAAAGTATACATTTTCAAACAATCGCAAGAGCAGAGAAAAAGAAAGAAAACTTTAAAAAAATCCAAAAAGCCATAGAAGAAAGATGGGAGAATCTTA